TGGCTCGGTTCCCGATGGCGCGAGTAGGTTGTTCCCCTTGAATCATTAATACTTTCGTATTTCATCAAGGTAGCTTTGACTCAATTTATACTCTAGAGTTCGAGTATACCTTTTAAATGTCCACATCCAAATATTCCGTCCGAGTATTCATGTTCGTGTATTTCCATCCAAGTATTCGTATTTCCGTCCGAGTATTCGTATTTCCATTCAAAAATTCGTGTTTAAAAGGAAAGCAATGGAAATAATGAAGTAGCAAAAGGAAAAAAAGACATCCTTATATAGCTTTGTGATGTTTTTTTTTTTGACGCGTAAAAATTGAATTAACGCGTAATACATGTAATTATGTAATTTTTTCACACGAAAAAAAATTTGATTTCGTTGTCGATTACCTTAATTGAATATTAAGCGGTCAAATACGTAATTTATATTCGCATTACTATTGTTCTCTGCGAGCAAAACTCGTTTAGGTCCGGATTTGAATTTGGATCCTGAACCACATGAATTACGTACGTACGCACGTACGCAATTATTATCGATATCAATATACTCCTTTTTTTTGCAAGAAACGATTTTAGAATACGTAGTCTTTTAATTTATTGCAGATCATTTCTATATCGCATAAAATCCCTGACTTCCGGTGACAAATTTATCCAAACAAGGTAATATGTTCACAAATTATCATCGGAGTTAATATTACGGCAGAATCACCGGATTCGGCGTTTGACGAAACTATGACACCACCCTTCGCATGTGTTAATAATTCTTTTGTTTGAAGTCACGTCTCTATGCTACAGAATACACATGAGGTCTTCGATAATGTTTTATCTATTATGAAGAGCTAGCATGAATAAAATAAAATTAAATATATAGTAAATATCCATACTGTATTCACTCGTTGAATTAATTAAAATATTATTGATGACTATTTATCGTGAAAAAATTTTAATTGAAAAAAATATAATATATATACTCATGTAGTTTAATTTGATAACGTAATTACTATACGATAATACCGGTTTGATACCCACGTGCATATTTTTGAAACCCTATACAATAACTATATATTATTACTTATATGTATAAATTGCTCCCACAAGGTATTTTGCTATGCAAACTCTACCAGGGTGGCCTTCAAAAATACGGGTCATGTGGTGGCGCCACCACATGATCCGTATTTTTGAAGGCCACCCTGGTAGAGTTGCTATATAGCATGTAATGCTGTAATGCGATTATAACAACAAAAATAAACTATATATAGATTTTATGTATATTGCCTCTAGCTTTACAAATAACAAATATTGGGCCTAACTAGAGGTGCAGACATTTCGAGGTAACGAAGTTGCAACTTTTGTAATATTGACGTAAGTCGTAATATAAGTAGCGGGTATTATAATATGTCGTAGGTTGTAATAGAAGTAGTAAGTATTAAATAATGTCGTATGAATAATTTAATGTGTTATAATGCCATAATGTAATATAGAATATTTAATTAGTAATGAATAATTGAATTGATTTTCTTATTTATACCTCCATACTTTATTTTTGTTAAAAAAGTCACCGAGTAAAAGAGAAAAAAAGAAAAAAAACAACGAAGGAACCTCGCGATTAATAAGCTAAACACGCTGCTTTTAATTAAAAAAACAGTATGGAAGTATAAATAGAACCGGTGAATAAATCAGTTATTGCCCGCTTCGTAGGCAATAACATATATCAACCGCATCTGTAAACTTGGTTATTTGTATAAAGATTTATTAAATCAATATTTGACCGAAGAATTTATGGAAGATTAGTATTTTTTTTTTTTATATTCTTAAATATGGTATGTACATATGAGCATATATAATTATTTTATTATGCTGTTTTTAAATATTTTTTACAGATGCAGTTTAACTCGCTCTTTAGTTCAACTTTTGATAACATTCAGAACCACTACAAAGATCAATTCAAAGACTTATCAAAACAAAATTAAATCTATTTGGATGCGGATTTTATCTGTTAAGTAGTTCATATTTGTTTTTGCGAAAACTTTATATTTCAAAATAAATCGTTGTGTAATATCAGTAATGTCGTAACTAAAATAGTTCCTTAATGGTTATGAGAGCGCACTCAATATTTGGGATTATTTAATTCCAAATAACATTGAAAATAATAAACTCAGTTTATTCCTACCTCTTAGGCAGTTTCAGTAAACTTAAATATATCAATTCGCTTTAAGTAATTGCATTATATAAAATCTTTCTTTCTAATTTTTAGTCTCCTGCCAATTATGCAAAATATTCGCATATACTTGGTTCATGTCTTATTAATTTATATTTGTTATTATTTGAACTATATACTGTACTTTATCTTGCTTCGCGAAGCTTGCTTACCACGACAGGGTTTAGTACGAAATCCCCGACATCCGAAATCATAATACTGGCATCACGCGAAGTGACAACTAAAAATTTAAAATTATTAATGTGATTACTAATCTTTAAATGTTAATTGTCACGCGTGATGTCAGTATTATAGCCTGTCGCATATATTAAAACTGGTGAGGGATTATATCTATCACATAGACTATAGACCAGTGTTGTAAATTTTAGCTTCCAGTGGGAATTTCTAGCCTTCCAGTGAAAATTTCTAATAGTAAAAGTTCCAGTGGTACTATTAATTTTTGCTTCCAGTGAAGTTCCAGTAGTCTTTCAGTGTTTCCAGTTAACAACGCTGCTATAGACCACTACATGTGTGGGATTAGATGTGTAACATTAACGGTCCCAAAAATTTAAGTCACAAAACTACGTATTCCAGTTAAGGATGTCTAAAATAAATTTCTTTATACAATTTAATGCGTGATCCAACTAGAATAATCAATTGTATGTACGTACAGTACATACGTACCATCTTTTTATATATTTAAAACTCGCATTCCTATTGTCATTTTTAGACTTAGTTTTCACTTGGCATCACTCATTTACTTACGGAATTTAAATCTCTCAATTCCTTTTCTTACCTTCTAATATATTCTAATGCCAATGCAATTAATCTGTAACTATAAAGCTGATGGATATTCCTACATATGTCACAAGAGAAGTTGCAATCAATAAATAATTGCTTCATTTATTTGTTGATGCAGTAGTCATAGTGAAAATGAAGACTTTTTACAATAAGATTTACAAATCATTAATTATATTCATATAATTAATTATACTTGTATTTATGTGTAGGCACTTAATTTCGAAAAAAAGCAATCTTCTCACAATGAAGAAAATGTCCTAGAACTATGAGTCAAATTTGTACTAATTCGAAAAACAGTTGTAACCTAAAAAAAAACTTGGAGTTAGGAAAATATTTTTCAAAAACATAGAATGGGCAAAATGAAAAGCTTTCTAATAGCGATAGGTTAAGATTAACCAAAATGTCTGATGTGTAATTTGTTTTTTGTGTAAAATATATAGTAAAATTTTAAGGCTATTACCTAAACTACAGTTGGCACAATTCTTTCTATTTGGTTCGAAATTATTAAGACTGATCAAATTTTGTTAGTCGCACTTTATGAAGACAAATTTTTATCATCAATCTCATTCAGAGAACATTCTTATTATAGTTTAATTTTATGTCGTTTTTATTTGTCTTATTAGCTTATAAATTATTAATAATGAATTACAATGCTGAATAAGAAATGACGCTTACGTAGATGTTACGCTAGGAAGGTTGACACGATGTGAGAAAGGTACAATAGGAAGGATTTTGAATTGCGTTAGACAGAGGATCACTTTTGCAAGTTTAATTATACCCAGGTATAGGTCGAGACTTCCGAGCGATTATATAGAAGTCTTAATCTGAGGTACTATTCATACTAATAGTGTTAGATGATTTAATTACACAATAACTAATTGATACGTATGTTTTAATGTTTACAAGTTATGCGATTATAGATGTTTACATATCCAAATATCCTTATATTTAATTAATAACGTGAAAATAATAGGAAACAAAACAAACATGTTCAAATTTCCTTTTTTTCTATAAATTGTTATAACCACAATTTGTTAAATACAAGCAAGTTCCATTAAGTGATTTCAAATAAGTAACAATCCCCGTCGCTAACAAACTATGTGCTATCGTTGTAGGATGAATACCATCCCACCATAAATATTCATCAGGATTCATACAAGTAATATTTGAATTTGGTTGTATGCAAGAATCCACAACGTTTGAAAAACCATATTGTTGTGGATTTTGTATAACATATTCGGTTAATCCCCAAACATCAAAAACACCAGCATGAATTCGCTGTTGTTTTCTTATGTCAATAACTGTTTGGTTTAATAGAATGTTATGGGTTTCGATGAGATTCTGTAAGATTGTAATATTGGTGTAATTTGTATATTGTGGTGCACGGTTGATTGGTGGCATGTTTAAAAGTAAAAATTTACGAACTCCAGTTGATATAAGAAGAATTATATAGTTATGAATCGATGATATTATGTCTTCAGATGTGATAGTAAGATTCTTTTCAAATATTGTCTAGTTGTGTAAACCGAAAAAAAAACTTGAGTGTCGGCTTTCATATAATTCATATATAAATACATTACCATATAGTCACAGAAACCAGTCCAAATAGCAAATGTAGTTTGGGGAGGAAAATGGGATACGTTTGGCGACATTTCTTCAACTACAAAGAACATAAAATTGAAAATTCTTAATAATAATCCTATCTAATAAGTGAACCTAAAAAGTATGCTAAGAATAACATAAAATACCTTGTTCTTGTATAGAAGGTACATTAGTATTATCAAAGGAACACCGAGAGATCAATGACTTATTGGTTGTTGCACCACCAAAAGCTCGATTTGTCAATTTCGCATTTAAGATAGATTCCACAAGATCTACCCATATAAGACCATTTGACCATCTTCCTATAATCAAAAAAAAAGTTATTTCTCAATATGACTTCACAAACGATGTTAAATTCAAGTTATTCTCAGGTTGCAATAAGGCATCCTCAAAAATGATAGCGATACCTTGATAATACAAATTAGCAGGTGGCATTGCTCCATTAGTAGCTCTCCACTGATTTCCATTATCTGTTAAAGAATCACCAAAAGCCACAATATTGAATTTTAGCCAATTTTTTTCACGGAAGTTTACTATCGAGACAATAGTTGCAATTATAAATCCAAGAACAAGAAGAAATGATATTATTGTCGAAATGGAAATATTCATTGCTATTAAATTTCATCGTTTTTTTTTTTTTTTATGCCAGCAAATTTTAATGGGTAATATAAGGCATCATCATGACATCAGTGGATCCTAACTCAGTGCTATGTCTGATAACGACAAGTACAAACCCAATTTTATCTCCATTAAGGGTAGGGGTATAAATTGTAAATTATATATAAAACTCATGGTATTTATCTTTTATTTTCAAAATTTTATTAAAGCAAGTCATTTTTGGACTATTTAGTAAAATTATATAACAGGTTTTTCTGATTCTAACAATAGTAAAATTATTAATATTTATCGAGATATGAATTTTTAAATTTTAAGTTTTGTGCTTTGAAAATGACGTTACTTTACCCCGTATGATGATCATATGATATCAACCAATCAAATTAATCGTTTTGTGTAACTGAGGCAAATTCGAGCCAACTTTACAACATATCGAAGTATAATTTTTTTTAAATATTTTATTTATTAAAATTTTACTATAATATAAAAAGATTATTTCTAATTGTAAACTATGCGTATTATACGTACACATATTACATGAATATCACTGTATTACCATATTATATAACAATTATAATTTGGTGTAATGTGTATAACATTTGAATTATTTCAATTGTATTTTATTTTATAAACTAGTTTTTTATATAAGATTATATAGAATGTAACAGAGTTAGACAAGGTATATTAAATACCAGTCATCTAATAAGTATTATTCTTGATTTATATTATATTAAATTTTATAATAATTATTAAAATAATTAATTTAAATATATACTAATAAAAACTGAAACAGTTGGTAGAGTAGATACATCAACAGAATAAATATGTGAAATATTGCAAAAGATTTTGCATACTGAAAATCTTTTGAAATAACTGCAATTGACACGAAATTATTTTGAAATAAAATAATTTCACAATATTGCGAAAAAAACAAAATAATTTCGAAAGTATTTCAGCTAATTTACAAAATTTTAAAAAATAATAAAACTAAAAAAAATGAAAAAATAATT